TGGTACCTTTTATAGGCTTTTTTTGAGTGTGGGCAAGGACACAGGGGCCCCGTGATCCCCTATTGCCTGGGGGCCCCATGAGTTGTCAGTCCCACCCCTGTAAGGCACTATTCCTCCTTCTAACACCAATGATGGGGCACTATTCCTTATTCTAACACCAATGATGGGGCACTATTCCTCCTACTGACACTAATGATAAGGCACTATTACGCCCACTGACACCAATGATGGAGCACTATTCCTCCTTCTAACACCAATGATAATGCACTATTCTGCCCACTGGCACCAATGATGGGGCACTATTCCTCCTTCTAACACCAATGATAACGCACTATTCCGCCCACTGACACCAATGATGGAGCACTATTCCTCCCACTGACACCAGTGATGGGAAACTATTCCTTCCACTGATACCAATGATAGGACACTATTCCTCCCACTGACACCAATGATAGAGCACTATTCCTCCTTCTAACACCAATGATGGGGCACTATTTGTCCTTCTAACATTAATGATGGGGCACTATTCCTTCCACTGACAACAATAATGGGGCATTATTCCTCCCACTGACACCAATGATAGGGCACTATTTCTCCTACTGACACTAATGATAACGCACTATTCCACCCACTGACACCAATGATGGAGCACTATTCCCCATCCTTACACTAATGATACAACACTATTCTGTCCACTGACACCTATGATGGGGCACTATTCCTCCCACTGACACCAATAATAGGGCATCAAGGGGTTGGAACCAAGGGACAGTGCTCGTAGGTGCGTAGAGGGGGTGGGGACAAAAAGTAACTCAGAATGGGGGGAGTTCCTTCACCTACTGTCCGAGAAAAAAAAAAAAACCCTGCATACATGGTTAGATTTTTGTCCAAACTTTCATACAGAAATTCTAAAAAATTGTTGGTCAGAACATTCTTTCTTGCCATCAAGTCAACTAATTTTGAAAACTGGTAACATTTGGTCCGGATCTGATATTTGAATGGAATCCCAGACGTATTAAACTGGTTTCATTACAATATGTATGATTTTTTCCTGAACAAAATTTATATTCACTTTCAATAAATTTGTTCGTTCAGGAAAAAGTTTCCATCCTGCTCCTTCAAATTTTCTTATCACTACGGTCAAAAAGGAATATCGATTCCACTAACCATTAGATCCCACTAACCATTAGAAAATTGAACGAATGTCTGAAAACTCTACAGGTGTATGACCAGCTTTAGTCCTGTGCATGAACATGTTTTGTCGTAAGTTACGGTAAAATCGGTAAAATGTTTTTTTTCCACACATTACCACAACACATAGATTGAACTGGGCCCATTCACACTTATCTGTTTTCCTGCAGTAAGGCTGACTTCTATATATTGAATTGCGGTACCATGCGATAACGTGCAGCAGATGTGCAATGCATTAAGGTACCTTTTATTAAGCCCCTATTCATACCAGCTGTGGTGTATTTAGGTTTTGTGCTGCCCTAGGCAACACAAAAATAGTCTGCCTCCACGGACACGAGCCAACACCACCTTCCTCTTCCTCCTTCCATGGAGAGAGCTTGACATTTGCCAACCACACCAATGCCCCCCACCAGGGAGAGCCTTCCACTAACCCCCCCCCCCCCAGAGATAGAGAGAAAGACACTCATCTTCACAGCTCCGGACATCCCCGGGAATGAGAGTCAGTCTCTACATATACACCATCAAGCAGTCTGCAGATCCCACCTGGCTCCCACGGTGCATGTGTTCCTTCTTTCATCTCTTCTTCTGGGGGGAGGTGCTGCCCCATGAAAAATGCCACCCTAGGCAAGTGCCTTGTTTGCCTTGTGGTAAATACACCCCTGCATACCTGAGTGCTTTGCAGTGCAATTCCCAAAACACAACAGCACTCGGGATGAAGAATTTGATTTTTCCCAATCAGTCTATTCACACCTGAGGACCATGTCGATTGTCCTCTGTGGTATGAAGCTCAAAAAAAATACAAGCTTCTTCTGGGCAGAATCAGTTTTTTTTGGCACCACAGACTAGAACAGGAGCACCTGCAAAACGTGTTTACAGGCATTTTTTCAAGCGTTCCAATTTTAAAGGTTATGGGGCCAATACTGCTGGTGTATTACAAGTCATACGTAAAAAACACATACAAATGCTCAAAAAAAGCTTCTAAATTGCTCGGCTACACTAACGTTAAGTGTAAATGGAAATTTAGACTTTTTTAAAAATTTTTGCATAGACACCAAAACCCAAAGGTGTGAATGGACCCTAAGAAAATTATAATCTAAAATGAGTGTAGAGACACACCCAGTGTAAACGTTTGTCACCATTGTGGTTGTGTTTAACCCCTTGGTGCCGGTGCCTGCCAGGGTTTGTGATGCTGGGAGGAAAGGCAGGGTTTAAGGTCATGTGACTGCCGTGATTGGCTGTCACAATGGTCACATGATCGGAAGTAGCGATCGGGACCTTTCCGTGAGGCGCCAGTAAATGAGCTCTTCTGTTTACAATGGATACGTAAATATGCAGCCCCCTCAGTGCCAACAGGTTAAGATGCTTTTTGGAGTTCTTAGGCCAAGTGAAAAGTAAAGGTCAAAGCGTTTCGGGGGAATGCCCCCCTCCATCAGGGTTGTGAAGATGGCTGTGGTTGAAACTGGCTCAAGGAACTGACCTTGAGCTGAAGAATAATTGCAAGTCTGACCCTTTTTAGTCTTAGCTGAGTGCCGGCATTACTGACAGCACTAGTAAGGGTCAGACTTGCATTTGTTCTCCAGCTCCAGGTCTGTTGAGTCCACAACCATCTACAGCCCTGATGAAGGGGGAGGCATTTTTCCCCCGAAACGCGTAAACACGTAAACGTTTGTCACCATTGTGGTTGTGTTCAACCCCTTGGTGCCGGTGCCTCCCAGGGTTTGTGATGCCAGGAGGAAAGGTGGGGTTTAGGGTCATGTGACTGCCGTGATTGGCTGTCACAATGGTCACATGATCGGAAGTAGCGATCGGGACCTTTCCGTGAGGCGCCAGTAAATGAGCTCTTCTGTTTACAATGGATACGTAAATATGCAGCCCCCTCAGTGCCAACAGGTTAAGATGCTTTTTGGAGTTCTTAGGCCAAGTGAAAAGTAAAGGTCAAAGCGTTTCGGGGGAATGCCCCCCTCCATCAGGGTTGTGAAGATGGCTGTGGTTGAAACTGGCTCAAGGAACTGACCTTGAGCTGGAGAATAATTGCAAGTCTGACCCTTTTTAGTATTAGCTGAGTGCCGGCATTACTGACAGCACTAGTAAGGGTCAGACTTGCATTTGTTCTCCAGCTCCAGGTCTGTTGCGTCCAGAACCATCTTCACAGCCCTGATGAAGGGGGAGGCATTTCCCCCGAAACGTGTTGGCCTTTACTTTTCACTTGGGACCTATGAATGTCCAATAAACATCTTAAGCACAACCTCAAGTGTGACAAGCTTTTATATTGGGTGAGCCTCTACATTATAGATTACCCAGCAAGGCGTCTTGCCGTCACTTTTAGAGAGGCTGTAGCCTAAAACCTCAACAAGTTTCACCAACACTACACCCTGATTGGTTATGAAACCCCCAAAGAACAAATCACCTGATACCAGACAATGTATAGGTGCGGGGTTATTACACACACATACTGGATATCCTCAGAAAATGGTGTAAGGTTTGTTTTTTCTTTCTTTTCCATACATTGGCAGCCTATCCTTTATAAATAAATGACATGCTGCATTGCTCTGCAACGTAATGCACAAGTGTGACGGGGCCCTAAAGCACATACATTTTGCTGTATGGAAATTAAATTTTGAAGAAAAACGTCCTTTTCTATCCGAAGGGCCTGGTTCACATGTTTGTGCGGCAGTTTAATATGTTTTTAAATGAAGTGTGATCTTTGTACTTGAATTCCAGATAATTACTTTTTTCTGCTAGGGGTTGTTGAACTACACAGAAGGCGAGCACGGAACTAGCCCTGCATTACATAACACTGTAACCCAATAACTTTCAATTTTGCACCCACACTCTGCGTTCACTCACAGAACTTAAAGCAGAACTCCAGGGATGATATATTTGGCATACATACCAGCCTGGCACAATGTACTGTGTATGTGATACCCAATCAGCCTATGTGGAAGCTGTACAATGGAGAGGAGAGGTGGTGAGATCATTATCCATTCAGAGAACACTGCATTCATTGAAAAAGAAATGCAAGGAATTCTCTGAATTGAGTTTGTGCCAAGTGAGGGAATCCCTGTGGTTGCTATGCAGAAGGGAAGCCACTCAGCACAGCACCCTAAAGACCATGGCTATCACTGTAGTACAGTAGTTTGGGCTACTACAGTGAATTACAGCTTTCACAGAGGCTGATCAGGTATCACATATGCATATTGATGTAGTGCCCTCTAGTTGGCTAGGTTTATTGTTTGTAGACAGAGGCTGGGTAGCAGCTTGGGATGCGTCAGCCTAGGAGTGAGGCAAGAGTTCATCTCAGAACAGGCTGTGTACAGGTCAGGGCTTCGGGAGCCATCCCACCCTTCCAGAGAACTTTCTGGAAAAGGGGTGGAGGACAGGAGGAGGCCCAGATCTGCATGTCTGAGGGACCTTGGCCAATCCCTAGGCAGGAGGCCAGCATGGTGACCAAAGACAACCCTTAAATGTGGGAGAGCCTGAGCAGCAAGGGAGTTGGGTGGAAGATGGACTGAGAGGAAGGCTGGAGTGTGGAGCCAGGGAGAGGGCCCCTGGGAAGGGAGCCTACCTACAGGCTGGTTGCTGGACAGAAGGATCTTCACTGTTCCACTGTTAGAAAGGAGTAACACACAGGCAAAGGCAGCAAATAAGGCAAAAGCTACAAAGGCAACAGATGGGGGTATACACGTGCTGTGGCATGCTTCGCATGACTGTATGGGAGAATAAATCTCCCGTCGGCTGCCAATCTGACCCATTCCACTGAATAGAGTTATCTAGGGTTGCCACCTCATCCCTTTAAACCCAAACACATATTATTACACAGGTTCTGGGGGCTAAATTAGTGCAGTCACGGCACTAAGTGAGTTTAATCAGCCACCATAATCATCCACAGAACCTGTGTCATTAATATGTGTTTGGGTTTAAAGGGATGAGGTGGGAACCCTAGGAACCAGGGGCAGACTGACCATTTGGAAACTCAGGCACTGCCCGAGGGCCCTGGGTCAGTAGGGGGCCCCATGAGATGCCCCTGGTACCTTTTCTAAGGCTTTTTTGAGTTTGGGCAAGGACACAGGGGCCCCATGATCCCTTATTGCCCGGGGGCCCCATGAGTTGTCAGTCCGCCCCTGCCCGCAACTTGTACAATGCAACATAGCAGCAGTGGTGCAGGTTTTTAGGGGATAAATTAGGTGGTGAGGAGGCAAAGTAATGCTTCCTCACCATCAGTGAAATGCCCTCTGAAAAGCAAATCGATTTTCAGGTAGCAACACAAGTGTACACTATTCCATAGCAACAGTGCTATGGTCTATTTCCATGGAAGCAGCCATCACTTTTCCTGAATCGGCAGCATACTCATCCTGCACTCACCTACAGGCTCTGACACATGGCTTACTATTGGGCTCCCAGCAGCGATGCGGAGGCAGAGAGGAGACTCCCTATTTCTGGTCTCCGGAGCAGCAATTGAATATAAATTGCTCAGGAGGGGTCCATGACAGGAATGGGACTATGCCTGCCTTGTCAGATTGATATAGATAGAGGATGGGGCTTTAATTAAATTGTTTTGAAATTCAGATTACTCTGCCTGCACCTGAAATTCATTAAATAGTCCCCTTTCTTCCCTCAACCCGCTGCTGAACAAATGGTGCTTGGGGAATTTTTTTTTTAATTGCTGCAAAGCTTGGGATTACTACACTGGTGCCCAGAATTTGGGTGTCCCCTCTCTGCCTCTGGGCCCCCCTGTAGAATTGACGGGGCCAGACCCGGCACAGGAAGGCTGGCACTATCCCCTTGTTGGCGTCCATGCTTACATATATTATCCCTGGAATTCAGCTTTATAATGACTCTAACCTAACGCCTCCTTGACAATATCAATGCCACCATTCCTGAGCCATTTAGAACAAAGGCGAAGAATCAGTGACTGCTGTAGTGAACACTGTGCTTCAGCAAATGACTGATAGGGGATGATGAAGAATGAGAATCACTAGTCCCCATTGTGCAGTACTATGGTTACTCAAAGACTTTTGATTGGGAAAAAAAACGTTCGGATCAAGGCAGAGTCCCAGTTCTCTTGTCTCCAATCAAGTCATATAAACCAGTATGCCCCTTGTGCTTATGCGAAGTTTATGACACAGCAGAAGTTGCAATTATAGGTTTACAACACAGGAGGCTCAATGGAATACTAACACGCTGAAATTCTGCCTTTTACTATGTTGTTTTAAAACAATACATAAGTGCCTAGACTGCAAAATGTAATTTACTGTTTTTCAATCATAAATGTATGAAAATGGTGTTATAGGAATTCCTGCCTGCACAAACCAATTCCTGATCTTGATGATGTTACGCTGTACATTAAGGGGAATATATACTTCTCAACTGGGTGCACTGCAATGCATCATAAGGGGTCATGCATGCAACTGCAAAAAAGGCACGCGGGAGTATTGTTTTGTGTAGGCCCATGCAGTCCACTGCATTGAGATCAGCAAATCTGCACTGCCTTCACCACAATAAAAAAAAAAAAAAAAAAATCTGTCTCAGTTCCTGTGTATGGACACGTTGTACGCATGTAAAGGTATTTGCTAATACACGATATTGCCAAAAGCATTGGGACACCCCTTCAAATTTATTTATTTTCAGGTACTTATATAGTGCCGCCAATTTACGCAGTGCTTTTACATATATTGTACATACACATCAGTCACTAACCCTCAAGGGGCGTACAGTCAAAGGTCCCTAACTCACATTCATACATACACATACTAGGGCCAATTTAGACAGGATCCAATTAACCTACCAGCATGTCTTTGGAGTGTGGGAAGAAAACTCACGCAGGCACAGGGAGAACATGCAAACTCCAGGCAGGTAGTGCCATGGTTGGGATTCAAACCAATGACCCTTGTACTTCCAGGTGAAAGTGCTAACCATTTAGCCACTGTGCTGCCAAAATAATTGGATTCACGTGTTCCAGTCATCTCCATGGCCACAGGTGTATAAAATCATCACCTAGGCATGCAGATTGCTTCTACAAACATTTGTGAAAGAATGGATCTCTCTCAGGAGCTCAGTGAATTCAGGCGTGGTGCCGTGATAGGTTGCCACCTGTGCAATAAGTCCATCCGTGACATTTCCTTGCTACTGAATATTCCACGGTCAATTGTTAGTGGTATTATAACAAAGTGAAAGCAACTGGGAACAACGGCAACTCATCCGCCAAGTGGTAGGCCAATTAACATGACAGAATGGGGTCAGCGCATGCTGAAGCGCACAGTGCGCAGAAGTTGCCAACTGTTTGCAGAGAGCTTCATATAATGGGTTTCCATGGCCGTATAGCTGCATCCAAGCCTTACATCACCAAGTGCAATGCAAAGCATTGGATGCAGTGGTGTAGAGCACGCCGCCACTGGACTCTAGAGCAGGGGAGACGTGTTCTCTGGAGTGAACAATCACTCGTCTCTGTCTGGCAATCCGATGGACGTGTCTGGGTTTTGTGGTTGCCAGGAGAATGGTACTTGCCTGACTGCATTGTGCAAAGTGTAAAGTTTGGTGGAGGGGGGATTATGGTGTGGGGTTGCTTCTCAGGGGTTGGGCTTGGCCCCTTAGTTCCAGTGAAGGGAACTCTTAAGGTGACAGCATACCAAGACATTTTGGACAATTTCATGCTCCAAACTTTGTGGGAACAGTTTGGGGATGGCACCTTCCTGTTCCAACATGACTGCGCACCACTGCACAATGCAAGGTCCATAAGGACATGGGATGAACGAGTTTGGGGTAGAGGAACTTGACTGGCCTGCACAGAGTCCTGACCTCAACCCAATAGAACACCTTTGGGATGAAATTAGAGCGAAGACTGTGAGCCAGGCCTCCTCCCCCGACATCAGTGCCTGACCTCACAAATGTGCTTCTGGAAGAATGGTCAAACCTTCCCATAGACACCCTCCTAAACCTTGTGGATGGCCTTCCCAGAAGAGTTGAAGCTGTTATAGCTGCAAAGGACGGGGCCAACTCAATATTGAACCCTAAAAAAGACTAAGACTGGGATTCCATCAAAGTTCATGTGCGTGTAAAGGTAGGCGTCTCAATATTTTTGGCAGTATTGTGTGTTTACATTTGTACAGTGCAAATGTGCTTTATTGGGAGCACAAAAACAACTCGCATCCTAGAAATGGAGGATCCTAGGCTGCAATAGCTGCCTGCATTTTAAGAACTGGGACCACTAAACAGCAAAGGCCACCTGCATCCTAGCAACAGAGGACGCTAGGCAGCAATAGCCACCTAGTGATGGAGAACTCTAGGTGCCAATAGGCACTTGATTCCTAGCTGCGAACAACGCTAGGTGGCAATAGCCTCCTGTGTCCTGGCAATGAAGGACACTAAGCAGCAAAAGTCACCTGCATCCTAGCTACATAGGATGCTAAGCAGCAATAGCCACATGCGTTCTAGTAACCATTGCCACTAGGTGGCAATAGCCCCCTGTGTCCTAGCAATGGGGGACACTAAGTAGCAAAAGCCACCTGCATCCTAGCAATGGAGGATTCTAGACATCAATGGCCACCTAAATCCTAGCAATCAATGACACTAGGCATCAATGGCCAATTGCGTTGTAGCAACTAATAGGCTACATTAATGCTGTACACTTGTATGCATTTAAATTATGCATTAACATTTACATGTGAACTGCATACAAAGCAATCTTTATGCAGGATTTTGCTCCCAGCTTCTCCCAGCAAGATCCTGTGAGTCAGTTGTTTGTATTTTCCTCCAGCCATGGACATGTACCCTAAAAGTGTAAAAAAAGAACTCCTGACCCAAAAGAGCCCCAAGTTCACTACATGGCCAAATGGCCAGAAGAACACACTGATAATATCAATTCTCTCAGAAGAGTGAGCTATAATAATTTCCTATGGATGATTATTCCAGCTCTGTGAACATGTGAGAGTCTTCCAAAGGAACCGGTTCTAGGAGCCTAGAGAGAATAGGATTTAATAAATGTGTTTCTAAAGGCCATATATAAATTATTATTATTATACAGGATTTATATATATAACAGTTTGCGCAGCGCTTTACAATATATATAAATTGCTATTAGACACGTGCGGTTCGTTTCGTTCCAAATCAAATTTCGGACAGATTTTTTCATTATTTGGAGATTCGGATGTATCAGAAAGCAAAATTGAAAATAAATTAGAATTCAAAAACAAAATCGAACAAACAATCGAAAAGAAATTTGAAGTGGAGCTCCACCCAAAAGGGGAAGTTCCACTTTAAGGACTAGTCCCTCGCACCTCATTAAGGATTGGCACCTTTGGAGATTGCGGGCGGAGCGAGTACCTGAAATTGACAGGTACCCGCTCCCACTTCCACTGTGATTGCCTAGGAAGCTGAAATTGTCCTCCCTCCCCGTAGTCTTCTGGGACACGTGACAGTTTCCAGAAGACTACGGGGCCATTCAAAAAAACGCAGCGCTTCTCGCACATGCACAGTGAGCACGCGGCTGTGAAGTTTCAAGCTGTCACAGCCGGGTGCCAAGACTGAAGATGTTGGCGCTGGGAACACAGGGCAGCCAGTGACACCGCGGGATTGAGGGACAGGTGAGTGTCCGTTCTTTAACCACTTGCCTACTGGGCACTTATACCCCCCTTCATGCCCAGGCCAATTTTCAGCTTTCAGCGCTGTCGCAGTTTGAATGACAATTGCACAGTCATGCAACACTGTACCCATATGAAATTTTTATCATTTTTTTTCACACAAATAGAGCTTTCTTATGGTGGTGGTGGTATTTACTTGCTACTGGGTGTTTGATTTTTTGCGCTATAAACAAAAAAAGACCAATACACTTTTAGAAAACAGACGTTTTTCTTTGTTTTTATTACACATTTTGCAAACAGGTAATTTTTCTCCTTCACTGATGTGCGTTGATAAGGCTGCACTGATAGGCGGCACTGATGGGCACTGATAGGCGAAACTGATGAGATGGCACGGATAGGCAGCACTGATGGGCACTGATAGGCGGCACTGATAGTCGGTACTGATGAGCTGGCAC